AAAAAATACCGATATTTTTCCTTCCAATTATTGATATATATCATCGATATTTTTTATCGCGAAACACCCATATTCGACATTTATTTTAGACTATCAATTTCGTGTCAATTTCGATATATTTTTTGATATACTGTATGCATGCTCCTCGCGCATTGTAAACTTTAAAAAAATCTTTTCAATATTCTTCATATCTATTATTTATTGACGAATTGTGAAACGTTTGTAAATATGTATGCATAATCATGCGAAAACTGACGATATACCGATATTTTCCACTCGATAATTATCGATAGTTTTTCAAAATATCCATACGATAAATATCGATACGTTTTTTTATTTGCCCATCCCTAACTAAAGCAATGTTACCAACTGTTCAAAAATAATACTCCTAAAGCATTTCGAAAACCCACTAAAATTGAATAAATTCAAACAAAAACTTCCTAAATTTAATAAAAATCACGACTTTTTTATACAATATCACGGTAAAATAATTATCTGATATCATTCATTTATTGATATCAGATTGAGAAATTGATTGTTCGCGACGGCTGTATAATTGTGTCACTGACATATTAATCAACTTCAATTTAGATATGTCGAAAGTGAAGAAATATAACGATTTATCGATATTTATCAAAAATAGTTTAGTCCGATTCCGTAGTAGGTAATAGTAGTTTTATAGCAAATTCACATTATTTTAATATACGAGAAATCTCAATAAAACAAAGGTATTTCAATCATCATTTATATATTAGTTATAATCTAAATAATATAATTTGTGCCTTAATTTATATATAATCTAAATATATAAATTAAGGCACAAATTACTCTTATATAAAGCTTGCGTAAGGCCAATCATGTCCTACGCGTGCATGATCTTCGCACACATAAATCCTACGCGCATTAACAAATTGCAAGTAGTTCAAAGTAAGTTTATCCGCCGCGCAACCGGTGCGCAATGGTATCAGCGCAACGTCGACCTGCACAACGATTGCAGACTCCCGACGATTCGCGCACATTTTAAAGATTTGACAAAACGGTTCTTCGATAGAGCCCAGCATCATCCCAACCCTCTGGTGGTAAGCGCAGCAAACTACCAACCGGACACAAACGCGAACGTAAATAAGCGTCGCCCGCGAAACGTCCTCATCGACCCGGTCGACGAAGAGGACTTAGATACGATGGACCCACCGCCGGGGGTCCCGCCGGATAACACTACAACCACAGTTAGTGTAACAACAATCACACCAGTTCGCCCTCGCCTCCGAGCACGGCGAGACCCACACAACGCGTACACAAGGTACACCCGCGTTCCGGGGCGGTTCTCACCGCTTCCAGCCGCCGATTAGTCGGGGTCTCGGTCCGAACCGGCGACTTCGACGGCCCTTAGATGACACACCATAGTAGTTAAACGCACGCATGAGCACATACGCGACCCTACCCATAGCGGAGGGTCCAAACCCGTGGGTTCTGGCTAGCCCACCGGTTCTGCGTCCAATGAAGCTTTAATAGTCTCGGGACTGAAAGCAAAAACATCAGTTAATACAAGGTACAAGATACAAGAAATCGTCTGACACTCCGTGTCTGTCCCAGTGTAGTATTAAGCCACCCCATTTCGGCTAGGTGCGTATGCTACATAGGTATTATCAATTTTTGGCCTAGCTAACAAATTTGATGCAGGTACCTGGTTATATAAGGTTTGCATATTTTTTTAATATTTTACTCGTTTACCGTTCGTTATACGTTACGAATTCTCTACAATGGGAAAGTCGTACAGTAAGGAAGAAGTAGTCGTCGCGCAGAATGGAAGCCAAGTCGAGTCCTACAATACCCAGCAGAGCATGTTGTTAGTGGCCATAGCAACATGTTTAGCCATGATTACCATATACGTGGTCTGGAGGTCATGCCGTAATCACGCGAAGGACTGGCTACGAAAGCAGGTGCATGCTGTCAACGCGGCTCCACCCGTCATTCATGTTCAGCAACCAACGACTGTACCGCAGGTCGCGGTATCTGCACCGCAGCTGGCAGCCGCCGCAGTGTATTGAAATAACGAGTAGCTAGTGATTTGGAGTTGAGTGTGTGCAGTTGCGGTAAAATATTTTTTTTTATTTTGTTCCATGTTATGTATTATTATATTTTTTTTAAAGAAGGGGGTTGTATGTGGCGACACAATGTAATATGATATATTATTCGAACGCCCCATGCGCCTTACATTGTGCAGCGCAGTACAGTTCATCGCAAGTAGCTAGCGAACGCACACTGTCATGTGAATATCTTGTAGCGTTAATAATAAATAATATATAATAGTAGCGTAGTATTTATCTTATCTCCTCGTCACAATAGGGCATACAAATATATCTCTAACCCTATACCTATATGGTTAAATGATAATAGTTTTTATGACGTCAAAGAATTTTTTTAGAAAACTTGATATTATATTATAAATGTGACATTTAATTGAGAATCTGATTGTAATTAAATTTTGTGATTTTTATTTAAATATTAAATTAAAGTAACTTCAGTTGATATCATTAATATTTCGCATGCTTTTTATAAAATCGAGCCGTGATAGCTCAGTGTCCGGGCGCTCGCCTTTAATTCAATATACTCGAGCAACCTGAGTTCGATCCCCGGTGCCGGCACCAATGAAGTTTTTAACTTTAAGTGCTGACTTATCACGTGCTCCGCGGTGAAGGAAATCATCGTGTGGAAACCTGCATATTTTCGAAATATTAACAAAAATATATATATATTTCGAAGATATGTGAAATCCGCCAGTCTGCAGTGGGGTCGCGTGGTGGACTATGCCCTGATGCCCTCTTTATAGAGGAGGCCTTTGTCCAGCAGTGGGACATGTATAGGCTGTTACTTTTTTTAATAAAATAACTTAACATGTAGTTTAATTATGATTTTTATCACCTCTATACCATGTTGCAGTTTAGATATCGATAGTATAAAGTACGAATTTAAAAGAAAAATATGATTATAGTACGAAAAATATATTAATAAAATTACTTTTTGGATCAAAATATACCAGCTAAAAATATCGATATATTTAACAAAAAAACATCGATATATCGATATTTTTTCGCATTCCTACTTAAATTTTGATATTAGTACTTTTCACTTTCAGGTTATTTTATTATTAATGGTTTATTTTATGTTACATAAACGTGTAGTGTATCATATTACCGTACGTAAAATGAAATTTAGTCTACTGATGGTACCAATTTTAATTTAACACCAAACCACATTTTTGTAAGTTTCTTTCATTGAAATGAGAGTAGGTTGGATTCATACATTAGTCAATAAATGGCCTGGAAAAAGAACATTTGGAATGTATAGATTTTTGCCTATGTTTTTCGTATTAGGTGCAGCATTAGAATTTTCCATGATCAATTGGAAAGTAGGTGAAGTTAATTTTTATAACACTTTCAAGAAGCGTCAAGCCAAAGACATCGTTGAAGAAAAAATTAAGAAGTACACAACAACCTAAGATGCCTGCTGGAGCTACTTGGGGACAATACATTTCATTTTCAGTAGCAGCTTTGTTGTCAATGATTACTGGATCGCAAATTATTCACCAACATTACAAACCTTTAGTTGATTTGAATAAGTATATAAATAAAGAACTTGAAAATTTACCTGAGAACATGAGAGTTAAGATAAAAAAAGAACTTCAAGATGAGGGTGTTCTTAACTGATAAATGATAATAGTTTATTGTGTAAATATATCTTAGTAACTTTTTGTATGGGTTTTATTATATATTAATTTTTAGACAAAATAGTACCAATGTGTACTCAATATTATATTAGCACTTTTTTTAATAGAAAAAAATATTCCCCAATGTTATTTAATTTTTTTATATTAACTGGTTATGAATTTCCACTTAACCATTAAATGTTGAAAGATGGCTAATAGGATATCAAGAACTTGGAAATTACTAAATAAGTTCTTCCGAAGAAAATAAATTGTAGTTGTTTTTGGACGCAAGACTACCTTTGAGAGGAAGGGCATAACCGAAATAGGATGATGATGGGTAGGGAGAATAGGGTTTGAACCCACATCTTTTACATCATTTTACATCATTCTATATTATTTTTATATTGTTACACAGCCGTGATAGCTCAGTTGAGCCGTGATAGCTCAGTTGAGCCATGATAGCTCAGTTGAGCCGTGATAGCTGTGTCCGAGCGCTCACCTTTAATTGAATATACTCGAGTAACCTGAGTTCGATCCCAGGTGCCGGCACGAATGAAATTTTTTAATTTTAGGTGCCGAATTATTATCTCGTGCTCTGCAGTGAAGGAAAACATCGTGAGGATAATGCAGGTTATATTTTCGAAATAAGAACAAAAAAAATATTTTGAAGATATGTGAAGTCTGCCAATCCGCAGTGGGGCCGCGTGGTGGACTAAGCTCTGATACCCTTTGTACAGAGGAGGCCTTTGCCCAGCAGTGGGACATGTATAGGCTGATACTTCACTTTACTTTTTATTGCTACACAGGGTTTTACCTACAGTTTTAAAAATATGTAAATTATTTATTAAACATTACACTACAAAACTTTGACAAGTAGAAAGACTGTTAAATAAAATGCAGTGGATTAAATATTTTAATTTTTAATTAATTTGGTACATATTTTTGTTACTTAAGATATTTACAATTAATGTATACTAATTACATTGTACAATATTTTCAGTAATAAATTAATTCATCCCCTTATTACAAAAGAACATTACCAGTATAATAGCAGCGATGTCATGCTTATATATATAAAAAACGTAGTAGATAAAAATGGCCTTTTCAGTACTTGTATTTGTTGAGTATTTTATTTTTATCAACTTTTTACGTAATTATTAAATTGTACTTACATATTGAACAAATTTGGGATACTTAATTATAACAATTTTATTAACAAAACATATAACATTTTACTTCTAATAAGACAAAGGACACAGTCTTTTTAAATCTAAGTCATTAATTAAAAAGGTCATCTTGATGAATTTGATATTGTTTTTTGAATCCAATCTACATGTGATGAGATCGAATTGTAAATTCGAGGTCTCCCTAAACCAATTTTACTGCAAGCGATACGCCATCCGCTGACGCCAGTTAATGTCCATTGTTTGGTTTTATTATTAAAACACATCATGGAGCTCCCTGCATATTCTTCTTCCTAAAAATGAAAAAAATATGTTTAAAACAAAAAATATGTACATAATCTCTATCTTTTACATATGTATATATTTTGCACTCCGGTCCTCCATTGGAAATGCATCCATACTTCATTCATCAGAGGAAACGCGCAAATAATACACTTTTTCTTCACGCCGGTCTCCTGAGAGGCCGTGGTACTTCCCCAGATGAGCTTGTACACTCATGTAACAGCAGAAGCCACTGCATGGCCCCACTACTACTTACTTTTTAATGTTAATAAATGGCGGAGTTTTTTTAAGCTCAATAAGATAATTCTGAATAGAAATAACTAAAATAACTTTGCGTTTTAAAATTAAACATAAATCGTAACGTACATCACAGTCGTCTTGATCGTAAAGCGGCTCGGCGCAAATGCCATTGGTGGTCGCTATGCTAACATTTTCACAAGTTTGCATAGAAGTAGCAACAACGTGGACCCTTTGTAATTGATCTCGGTTCCTAGTCCAGCCGAGGGTGTTGCAAGTGCTTTGATCGTTCAATCCATCTTCTGGAAGACAAGCGGGTCGTACGAAGTCAGTCACTTCTACTGGCTCTTCCAATCGAACCAGGGCAAGCATGCTACCCTCTACGGGCGAACGAACAAGCCCAACAATTCGACGCTCTTGCTGCCACGGTGACGTACTTTGGATACGCACAGTACCAAATCGAGCTGTCCACTCAGCTTTGGGCTGACCCTATAAAATAAATATGTAATAAAAACTGTCAGAATTCTGTGTGAATCGGTAGATCCCGAATTTATTGGTAGGGCAATATATGATTACCTATACAGCGTGTCGTTACCATCGCGACAATAAATGAACACACATTTAGAGGATAACTTTTTAAAATTTTATAAAACTTTTACATTCTTTAAACATCAATATTTACCGAGTTTTAAAATTTTCTAAAACAAAGAATTTTAGAACAACCTTACGTATAAAACTGTAACGTAAAGTTCATTTGTAAAGGTCACAAAGCATAAGAATGTGTTGAATGAGTTTAAAAGAGACAATACATACTGTTAGAAGGAGAGGCTTGTAATGAGACGCTGTGGCAACGAATGAAAAAGTCGCTGACTGTATGAATCAGTCAGTTGTAGTTGTATAGGATGTTACAAATTGTGTTTCTTTTTTAATTAGTTTTTTTTGAAAAATATTTTTTTTTTAATTATGGAAGTTAATATTTTTTTATGATTATTGGCAAGTAGCAATAGTCGTGTGTTCATTTATTGTCGCGATGGTAACGACACGCTGTATATAATAAGATAAATAATCATATTCTTCAGCTTCCAAACACTGATGCCTTGTTCTAATATCCCCGGATACATTACATACACACATATCAGTAATAAGTGTAAAAAAAATACATGAAATGTGATTCTTTTCAACGGTGCGTTGTACTCACTTGGAAGCACGAAGCAGTGGTTACCAGCCAGTTGGGGTGTAACAGCGCGGCATCGCATGCGTGGACATGGGAGCGGAGCAGAGCTGCATGCCAGGGCCAGTCGCCAGGGCGCGCAGAGCGTGGTAAGCCCGATGGACCAGACGCTGCAGCGGAACCACGAGCGGATGACACTCCACACTCTATAAATAATAATTGAAACTTACAAAATGTGAACGCATCTGCTAAATTATCAGATCTAAAGTATATCTGTAATAGTTTATCAACTCACCGAGTTGATCGCAAACAACTTTTAAAACTTTTCGCTGCGGGCATTCGCTTTTTACGAAAGAAATTTCTGCGGCAGAAGGATCAACTACTTCAACATACTCGGGTTGATCTTTTTTTTCTTCAGTCACATTTTCATCTTCAATTGCTTCTGCATCCGATACAGCTTCTGCACTTAGTGCTGACCTGAAATCATAAAATATATTAAAATGAAGATTTATTCCTAACTCATAATTAGGAATAAATCAAAAAATAAATGTACAATACTATAGGTACCAATTTATTTTTATATTGCATGGTGGAGAGATTTATTTAAATCTAAATCTCTAAATTGTTGTGAGTTCTATCCCTAAATGGGAAAAAAATGGTGACATGTGTCACAATTTTTTGTGTTCTATCAACTCTGAGGGTACTTTGGGGCTGTATTGGGGATGTCTGTATTTATGATAGCCCCATGATACATGGATTATTTTCCAGTGTGGGGCTCAATCATGTCACACACGACGAATGTTTTCCCATAAATAATATTTTCATATGATAATTTTGAAGAACGTAGTATCTACATGTGTAGGTTATTTTAAAGTTATATCATAAATACCTAAAGGTAAGCACTTTACAAAGCGAGTTGGCAACATTCATAAGCGCTTTCTTGTCCGCTTCGTAGGGCGCAGCACAAATCTTTCCCATTCGGCCCTGCTCTGCCCATACCGCGTATCCTCCGCGACTTCGTATGGCTCCTAAAGTTGTCTCGCTTGTTTCACGTTTCCATGATGCCAGTGAGCGTGTAATCCATACTAGAAACAAGTGCCGAAGTGTATTATTACGCAAAATATTATGTGTCAAAAATTAAATCTTCTATAATCTCTTATACAATCTAAAATTACAGATGGAATGTATAAATGTAAACCAACATTTTGATTCTGCGTTTACAATATTAACGCCCGGTTTCTGAAACACTGATCATCGTAGAAGTTAACTAATCAGTTTTCAAATGTCTTCTCAAATGTTATTTGAGTTGCCAAAAGGATTGTTAAATTTTCTGAATTGATCAGAATGATCTTCTTTATGATCAGATTATCTTCTTTTATGAAATTTCAGTGTCAATACTTAACTTTTTTCAAACGTTTTTTCTTTTTCAAATGTTTTAACATACACAGAGCAGAAAAGTATTATATGGAAGGACAACAGTTATTAAATATACAGTTTTCTTTTGTTAATATATGCGTCGATAATTAAATATGACATAGGTCCATGTATGAAGCATATTTGAACGCTGAATCGCTTTATTGTACCCGCATTATTCACGTAACCTTTATACTGATAATTGCGCTGTTTTCTATCGATTCGAGTTTTCTTTTTTTTCTAATGTTTCATAAATAATGTTTTCCGCAAACCAGTTTAACAAAAGTTTACTTTTCACACAATGATAATTAATACATTTCTTAAAGTCTTAAAATGGGCTATTAATTCTATAATATATTTAATAGCTTTACAAAATTTTCTTCCGTATTCGTTCTCGTAGCACTAATCATGTTGATCGCATCCTTTTTTCTTTTTAGATGTTTTTCCGGAATGAAAATATTAATTTAACTCACTGTACCGTAGGATCGCCATATGTCCCGATTTTGGCGGGACGCCTAGATTGTTAGCCCATAATTGGTCTATCATGATTCCAATGTTACTTTAATTAAACTTTTATATAGTAAAATGAGCTTTATTAATATAACATGAAAAAATAAATAACAAAAAAGCTGTTAATAACGCTTTCAACGAAAAAATCGCTTTGCCCCAAAAGTATCTTAACGATATAATTTTCTTTACGATATATTATAAGTATCTTTACACGAATCGAATAAAGAACAAAATTAAGAGCCGTTGAACTTATGAGACAAGGGACAAGATGGACGGACAACACCTGATTGTGATTGCAGCAGCGTTGTCTATCTTGGACAGAATGGACCGCGGATACCTATCTTAAGAGAGTAATTACATTTTTAACGTTAGCAGAAGCTTTTCCCGCAGTACGGTGATGAAAAGTCGTTTCGGACCGTTTAAACGCATTAATTGAGCGTTAATTTTTCAAAACACAGTTTCAGTATGTTAAAGGTACACGCATATGAGTACTTAAAAAGGGATATAGTGAAAAACACCCACGACATCCGGCCTCATCGCTCGCGTCCGGACAATCGGGCGTGCCGTCGCAGCGCAGATGGGCGGGGAGGCAGCGTGGCTGCAGAGCGCAGCGCAACGCGCCGGCACCCGCCGCAGCGCAGTGTGTGCACGCGCGCTCGTCCGCAGCGTCCGCGCAGTCCGGCACGCCGTCGCACGCCCAACGTGACAGCGCCATTCGCTGCAGACCGCCGCTGCAGTCTGCGACATATACCAAGTTTATTTCACCTTTACCATTATTTTACACTTTTATTTTACTTTTGACGATTGCTCCGCTTTAAGCGCACTTGTATAAAGCTGTATAGATCCTTCCTGAGCGAGGTAATTACCCAATTTTGAAAGCACGCCCATGAAAAGGCGTACGTTGGCTGCTGGCTGAAAATATACCGTTACTTTTTCATTCCAATACATTTATAAAGAGAAGATAATGTTTCACTCCATCGTTGATTTCAAAGGAAAACGATAGGTCAAATGCAAATACTGATTGTGTAATTTATTTGTGTATGTTATATATATGAGATTTGCGTTCAAATACCGGGCTCTGGGGCGCAGGAGCCGGGCCCGAAGTAATCGGGGAAGCGTGCGCAGTCGAAGTGGGCGCGCAGGCGGTCGGGCAGACGCGCGCCGCAGCCCGCGTGGAAGGCGCGGCAGTAGGCGCGACAGGGGCGCACCAGCCGCCCCGCGTCGCACCGCGGCTGCAGCATCTGGCACACGAAGTCCTGCAAGCGAACACCCGCTCTTAACGGCGGTGGGGACTCGCAGCAGCTTTCGCTGTTGCACGAATGGGCAGGCTCGACCGGGGTACCACGGCCTCACAGAACACCGGCGTGAGGTGGAAGAATCATATTTTTACGTTCCGACTGGTGAGTGAAGTAGCTGGAGAACAATTTTTAAAGATTGGCCACGCACCAACTGTTTAGGCGCTGTAGATGTCAATGGGCGGCGGCATTTACTAAACATCAAAATAAATAAATAAATAAAATCAGGTGAGGCACCTGGTCGCTTGCGAAATTTTCAAATAAAGTAAGTATGCGCGATTCATTCAATCGCGCATACATGCCCCTTAGTTATCGGTACTTTACTTGCAATCCTCCCTGATGCTGTTTCATCTAGATAGCGCTCTATTAACTTTTCTCAGCAAACGTTCTCGATTATCTTTACATTTTATTTATAATAATCATCATCATCATTATCATTATTTCAAACTATGTATTTGAGTCCACTGCAGAACATAGACTGCCTCCCCCACAGACTGCCATAATACGGTCCTGAGCCACCTGCATGCAGTGTAGCCTGCTCCTTAGCTCATATAGAGGCTTTGAGCTTCATCTTACGGCTGTGAAGGATCTTCTTTTAATACATTAAATTGCTAATATTTGTTTCTATGTTAATTAATAATGCTAGTATTTAGAAAATTTGTTTTTAAAATTTATATCAGTGTGTTTGCAAAACTAAACTTCTCAAACCCCATGTGGGATAAAGAAAAAAAACTTGAAAAACTATGCGAGGGAAAAGCCTATTCAATTATCTTACTTGTGCTAAATGGGAACATTCAGCGTCCAACAATTCGCGGAAGGCAACTAAGTCACGCATCAGTGCATCTCTCGAGGTGTGTGCCACGAGATTAGGATAGGTCGTGATGTTGTACGGTAGATGTGAACATAGGGGTAAAGTCAACGGCGAACACTCGCGCACTTCCTCCACCAGCTCAAATGACATCGCTTCCGTAGTTGTTGCCTCTTCTTCTGTCGTGTCAGCTTCTTTTAAGGCTTGTGAAGATATAACGGAACTCTCCTGAAAGTATCAAAAAAGTATGATAAATGTGTATTGTATAGTGTAGATAGAATACTTTACAAAAATGTCAACGTGAAGAATCGTATAGGGAAAATCCGGAAGACGAGAGTTTTATTCCCGCAGCGTTTAATCTTAACTGACGTTTTATCTTAACTGCAGTAATTAGCACTATAAAAATTTAAATATCAGTTAATGATTGTTATTCAACATAAAGCGTAAAACCATTAATAGCTTTTATTATTTGCGTGAATAATAATTAATAGTGAATAAATAATAATTTGCAGTTACATTTTAATATAAGTAAATCGTTTACGGATTGTACCGTTCATTTTTATTTTAAAACATCCGAGATATTCCGAATACTTTACAGCATTCGAAACGTGCAGTTTTCTTAAATTCTCAGATTTTATTACCTCAATATGTAGTGTCTCAGGTAAAGTAGTGATGCTCTTTAAGTAGGTGGTGGGCGATTTCAATTCGCGCGCCATAATCGCTACAACGTCTGTTGTGCTAACCGCCGTGAAGATGGGCTCGAATGAAACTTCGAAGTGCACACGTTCTCCGTCATCAGCACTGTACGTGAAATATTTGAAACGCATTAATTATAATTTCACTTCTTGATGCAGAATTATGATAATTTATCTACATTTTTGCTTGTACAATCAAATACATCAATTCGTCAAGAACATGTAAGGACGTATGCTTTTCATAATAGTAGGGGAGCCCAGCATGCTAAATGTGTTTTTTCTCCCACCCTTTGAAGACCTAAGGAATCGTGAAGATCACATATTAAAAAGAAAAAAAGTTTGTGGTTCAGTGGTGAGGGAGCGTGTACGAATTTTCAAAAATTAAAAAAAAAAAGTAGTCAGAAAAAAATTCTCCAGCGCGTCAGAATTTGATAGTGTATACGACCTACGAACTTGTGACCACACAGAGATATTAATATGCCAGTGGTGTGATTGCTAGTGGGAGGTGGCAAAAAAAATCGTGACATTTAAATACTCGAGCGCATCAGATTTTTATACAGACGGTTTAGCTTGATGCACTGTTTATGCTGACTCATATTCTGACAATTTTGTGAAGGGATTTTTTAAATCTGACAATTGAAAAAAAATTTTACTAGTTTTTCCAGTTTTTCTCCACAAGAAAGAGTGAGAAAGGAGGTGTGGCGCGAAGCGGGAAATATGTAGTTCTCACACACTACACTCTATTGATAATTTTAGATAGTTCGGCTTAATAAAATCGGTAGATTATGTTGTTCCTATAATTTTTAAATAATTTTCTTTCAAATGAAAACAAAATACGGCACTCGAACATTTCGAGGTTATGATTTTTTTTTGCAAATTTGCGACTCGCTTATTTTTTATGTCACATTTAAATCGTCAGATCATAAAGATTTTTTTTGCATGTTTTGAATTAACTTATTTTGTTTAAATCTGATGCGCTCGAGTTTTTTTAAGGATCGATTTGTTTTGATCGACTGCCCTAGACGCACACCCCTATATTAAGGAATCATATGTGGTGGAAGTACATAACAAGGTACAAGGTTTCTTTTGTTAAACTGTCGAGCTAGCAAGTTACTTCCAATTCCGCTTGGGCTATTATAAGAACACACACAGAGATGAATATACCTGATATAGAAGATACTATAAAGTTTTTCAGTGTCCAGGTACACGCATATCCCGATTCCCGATGCAATCAATGAAATTGTTAATGGTAATTGTAAGTGCTCATTTATCCCGTACTAGAAAGCAAGGTTACATATTTAAAATAACTAAAACTTTACGTCCAATATTCGTACTAGGTTAAAAATATGTATAAATTCTTCTATCTTAAATCTAATAAATTCTTATATCGTGTAGTTCAAATGTTAGTTAGTTTAAGCCCACACTACCAATATAAGTTATCTCAGTGAAAAAGTACCATAAGGTCAATGCACTTCCATTTATATTTGATAAGAAATGGAGGCTTTAGCTTATGTACAAAGTTTACAGTTTCATTTCTTAGTGGCTAACAGCCAGTTAAGTGAATGTATGCTTAACGGCCCTTGCCACTACCATCCTCGTTCTGTATGTACTCAACACCTAGACCTATTAAAATACTTTTACTTGGATGCTTTGCATTTTAGTTCAACGCTGCATATCTATTCGTCTAGTTGCAATAACGTTCGATGCTCTCGACGCTACAAAAAGTATGTCATTATTATAAAAACAGATTTAACCTTATACATATAAACATGTAAGGTTAATACAATATGCAAGTACTACTCGAGGGTTTGACAGTAGCTATAGAATTTATGTACAAATGATTCGGTTTTCCAATGCGGTTGTTTGGTAGATTTTTAGGGCAATATAAAAAATATTTTGATTGGTGCTCGTTGCCTAGTCTTTTTCGTCGGCAGTTCATAACCCAAGTAAATAAAGCGTATTTATCGTGGAATCTAGGATTTTATCAAATCTCCATTACTTTTTATTAAACATCTAGTTAGCATTCCGCCAACAATGCATCATTCGCGGTTGAGATTGTGAAAAGTTGCAGTGGCGTGCTTGAAGGTTAAAATTTGCTTTTTATGTGATAAACTCGTTAGACGTCATTTGAAACCCACGCACGGTAACACGCCCAATAATTTTTTATAGCAAATAAACTGTGTCAAAAGTGGATAGATTTGAGATATAGGGTATTATTTCCTTTGACGGCCCGATTAGCGTAGTGGTTAGTGAACTTGCCTCTTGCGACAGGGTGTGGGTTTGACTCCACTACTGGAAACATATTGTGTGGTTACTGATTTTCCAGTGTCTGGATGTTTATACATGTATAATGTGTATTTATTTACAAAATAAAAGTATAAGTAAAAATGTCATAGTACAAGCGTTGCTTAGTTTGGGACGTTATCTAAAAGTGAGTCCGAAAAAAAATGAAAGCGAGTTCATATTATATTGTTAGACAATTTTGTAAATCCTTTTATACCACTTATTTGCCTATTGATTTTATCGCAATTGATATTTTCTTCTTACACAACTAACAACAATATCTCGTTATAAAATTCTCGAGTGTGGGAATGTGGGAATTTGTCATTGTGGAAAACTCTCTGAGACACATGGAATTTAAAAATCATGCCAACTTAAGAACGCTTTTGTTACAGGCAAGCAGTATGCAATTGATTTTTGGCACCGTGCAATATACATAATATATACATTGTGCTATTGACACGGGAAAGTTCGTGCGTGATTGGATACAAGCGCATTGTGCTTTCTATGCTAAGCGCGTTGTCAATCTACGTTGAAGGTTATTATGGCCCTTTCTTTTTGCGGATCATTTGAATATATATAATGGTCAAATATACGACGTAGGTATAAGTACGTTTGTACATATAAAAGTTTGTGTAGAATGTATACGCCAATTTACAGATTTCTCATTGTAAAATTCTTCTTAACTTTGATAATATTTCCCAGTAAAGCCAATTAGGAATAAATAATGCAAGGCGTTTAAAGTCTATTTAGAAAGTGAAATGCTCGATGAAATAGGAAAAACCGCTATGACAGAATTGGTATATGACGAAATTTGTAGTTAGTTATAAGACACGAAAAGTTTTGTAACACCAATAACCAGAAAAAGATGTGTTATTGCTTCATGCTTTAAATAAGTTTTGCGGGTCGATTACAATTCTTTTAATGAAACGATGAACTTTTGTTTTTTATTGTCCTGTACCACGCTTGATCGCCCAGATCTCGTGAGATGGCGAGAAAGCTAACTTTCTCTGAGCAGCTTATAGGTACATACTGCCACTTAAGTCGCGGTAAAAATGAAAACACTGTTTTTACTCAATCGTAAATTGTAATTGTTAAATTCATTGTTTAATGTTTTGTTAAATTGTCTTTTTCCTTTTTAATTAAATATGTGTTAACATGCGCTAAATATAAGCAAGGTATAATGGTTTTACAGCATGTATTAATTATAATTAACCTATGTTAATAACGAATTTCACCAGAATACCGCCTCTTTCGTAAAACGTTTCACCAGGTATAATTTTATTATGATGACGGTAATAACTTAAAAGTAGACCAGTTTCGTGTTGGGCGTAAGTAACAGCAAAAATGGCTTGTATGCAAGCGCGGTTACGTCGTGTTCATGTAATGCTAATCATTGAGAACTATGACGATATTTTCACACGTTTTTTGTAAACTTTAAGGCGCCTCAATTAATGAAAATTCTAAAGTTGCATAATCACTAAGCAAATAGAATAGAATTTGCTTTAAAAATTAAAGTCAATATTGTTTTATTTCGTTCAGTTCTATCTCCAATACTTGTCACATCTGTCAATTTTTTTTTAATATTGAAAATATGTTATATTTTTATATAAAAATACTTTTGGATGTCGATTACAATGTATCACTCTTGCAAATTATATTTTTTTGTTAATAAAGACTGCATATTATTTATTAAACTTTTTTCATGGATTACATAATCGGTTGAATCAATGAATGAGTGCCCATTATTATTGCTCTTTGTTGCACACTTTTTTAAGTTACCTTATACTTTTTTATAATTACCCGTAATTACATTACATTTTAACAGATTTAAAGTAAAGTAACAGCCTATAAATGCTAGGCAAAGGCCTCCTCTGTACAGAGGATATCTGTGCATAGTCCATTACGCGATCGCGTGGCAGTGGGCCACGCGATCACAAATTGGTGGACTTCAAATATTTTTGAAATATTTTTTTTTTATTTCGAAAATATGATAGTTTCCTCACGATGTTTTCCGTCACCAAATTAACAACTCCATTGGTGTTGGCACCGAGGATCGAACTCACGTTGCTCGAGTAAATGTAATTAAAAGCGAGCGGCTGGACACTGAGCTATCACGGCTTTTAACAAATTTGTCCAGGGCAAAAGAACACATCTCCTGTGCAACGCAACGACAAGGGACAGAAATTATGTGCAAATATAGTTTAAAGTTGCACAATAATCTAGATACTGATGACATTATTAAAAAAATTCGTTCTCTAACGCTATATATCTGTAAATATTTTACCTGTCGAGCGCTAAAATTTCGGCAGACACAAAACTAGATCGCAGCTCGGAGTTGCTGTATATGTTCTCAAGTGTCTTGCGAAGTTCCAGTTCGCGCGTACTGTTCTTTACTTCTAGATCACTCTCCTCTCCCCACGACGATACGACGAAAGAGCCTCTGAACGTTTGCTTATTCAATGGATCCCCGAAGAGATACATATCTGGGGGAATAGTCTTTGTTTAAAGTCAGAAATTTTATACGCAGTTAATTTATTTTATAATAAAATGAAAATAAAAACAACATATATTTTTTGCGGAAAAAATAATTTGGTACGTAGTAAGAAGTTACTCAAATTATTTAGAATTGTAATATTTCTGTAGCTGAAATTAGTTACACTAACATATTTTTTGCGGTTGTTTGAATACTATAAAAAATATGCCTGGAAGATACATGCAAATTAAATAACATGAATTAAATAAGTACATAATTAAATAACATAATAAGCTTTGACTTGAGAGCAATGTCGTTCTGAGGTGTAATGGGTGGTTTACGATTTGCGTCTTACAAATAACATTACAATACAACCAAAATAAAATAATGCAGTATAATATCAAAATAAAAAGTAAATTATGTATACCGTAAGAAATAAAGACAGAAGTAGATTTCTCTTTAGTCTTAACGATATGGTTTTTCATTCCTAGATAATATCATAATATTTTCTACCATATTCAGTTTTAACTTTGCATGTTTATTTCAGTTTCAACATTTTAACTCCGTTGTAGTTAAATATATGTATATTAATTTTCTACATGTTTTAAGTTTTAATATGTATATTACTTTTAATATGTGATGCGGGCAACCATCTATTTACATATATAGGTAAGCTTACAATTAAGTCTTATACAACACTAACGGACGCGACAGACGTTGTCTTGTACACACACGACTTATAAATCCGACAACTTATAAATAAAAAAATATAATTACATTATATATAATTATTATATATAAAAGATAAGAAGGTTGTAATTGTAATAAAGAATTAAAACCTTTACAAGTAGTCAAGAAGAAATTCGTTACTTGTGTCTAGTCACTTTAAGAATTGTCAAAAAGTATGTTATGAGTGTTTATGGTATGTATTACATTTATAAATTAGATACTGTATTTTTTCTTATTAGACCTATTAATTATATCAATCAGTTATATCGATGAATTGAAGGCATATCGCATTTCGATCGGCTGCGCACTTGTCGCGGCGAACGCAAGGCCGATATGAGTGCCGGCCTTTGGCTCGGTGACGGGCTGCGGTGCTAAATGTCGCTGCCGACTATCGCTGCTGACATCATATTTATTTACAAAGAAATTCCATAGGGACAACAATATATAACAATTTATGAAATGGTTTCACTTTATAAATTTCGCATCTAATAAAACATGTATCTTAGTAACATTGTTTTTAGTACAATGTCACCTTCCCATTAAGCCAATAAATTTTTTGCTTTTCGAAATATATTTCGAAGGCCATATCGTAACGCTATTGTGGTTTTCCAGTCTATAAGCCAAATAGTCAATCAACGGTAAGTTCGTTTCTATCTTCAGATAATAAAATAAATATAGATAATATAGCTAGTACGGTAGTACTAAGCAAAATGTATTCAAATATCAATCTTCGAATTAAAATAGCAGGACTAGATTCAGCTAACTTTAAAATTATAGACAACTCCGCTTGTGAACTAAAGTAAGAGGTTGGGAACAAGTCAGTATGTAGTAGAACATGTCGTTCAACCAGTAATTTGCATATATTAAAATAAGTAAAATGTCCTAATGCCGAGATTAGAAATCGTAGGAATACTTCCTCCCATTTAAGTAATTTCTGCAAGCGTTCCTTTTGAAACACTGATTCGATTGAGATATACATACACATATAGACATATGGTAGAATTGCAAAAGATGCTTTACCGGTTTCTTCGAGGTGATTTAAAGTATTTGCTATTTATTTTGTGACTCATTTAATATCTTCAGTCTTAAACCAGTGAATCCTTTGGATTATTATAAATTTGGACATCGTTCTGATTAATCGAGTTGTGTAACCAAATTATGCGGATGTTAAATGTCAAGTTAGCCACAAAACGAAAACGAATGAAATTGCACTTGAATATAAAAACAAGATCAAGAACCTTGATAAAGATACGCTTTTATTATAAATAGTTGGTACAAAAATAATATATATTAAAAACAAAAATTACTAAAAGAATAATATATTACAAGATATCGTGATTTTCTTTACAGAGAATTAATACATTTAATAATTTTTAATGAATTAAATCAATTTTACATTAAAAGTACATTAGTGTCTAGTCTAGGGTTTTAGCAAGGTGACCGTTTATATTTCCTCGTCAGATAGTTGTAGTATTAAAATTTCGTAAAGAAGATATTAAGATATTTTTAAGGGAAAAAAGCAGATAATACATTCTAACTGTTACGAAATAAAAAAGACAGTCGACATCACCGAAATAAAAACTATCAAGACGCGCAGTTGTGTTGCCACTATCATCTTTGTTATAATCATCCAATTCATTCCTCATAAAGTTTAAGATTGAGAGATATAACAAATAAGAGATAAGAATTTGAGAAAAAAGAGACGTAAGGGCAAATTCTGCGCACTATCGTGTAACTAATCGCTTCATTGGTCTGCGCGTCATTATTCCTTGCCGTTTACACTCGGTGCACGTTAAGAGCTAAAGATCGATTACCACGCAATCGATTTTTTTAAGATGTTTGCCGGTCACTACACACTATAACTCGTGACATACAGCAGTGGTACCTACGGCCAAGGTAGATGGCGACTGCGGCCAATAGTAGCAGCACCAAGAGAGCGGCGAGGGCAGCACAGCAGCCGCGGCATTGTCTGCTCAGCTTGCGGCGCGTGAAGCGGATGTCGCTGCTCACAGACATTGTGGACTCGGGGGGGCGGTGGCTGCGGCACCGGCGCTGGCCACCGCGCGTCCATCCGTAGCCCAGCTGCGGAAAAACCCTTCCTAAAGTGACATTTAAGGAATCACCATAAACAATAAGGAAAGTTGTACGACCCCCCCTCCCATTAGTGGACGACCTGTGCAAATGTCTGGGAAATATATGAAATAGTGCTTTTCCATTGTCTGATTGTTTATATAATGTATTTATTTACGAAACAAAATTATGGTTTTCAGTTACTATACTCTAGTATCGATAGTATATAGGTCACAATAAAGTTTCAATATTAGAAAAAAAAATATTATCTTCAATATTTAAAAATGGAAATATTTGGCTGTAGAATGCAGTTATTTCTGCGCTATTTTAAAAATTGTGTGTCTACATTAACATGGATTTAACTCGGGATAATTTTCGTAGTATGATTTTCTACGATTTTAAGTGTAATTTGACAGTTCAGCAGAGCCTCGCGCGGCTTCAATCTGATTTTGGCGATAAAGCAGACCATGCCAGACGACAATTTATAGCTAGTTTGCAGAATCGTGTCAATCTCAGTGACGAATCTCGCGATGGTCGCTCGTCCACCGTTGTGAACAACAAAAACATCGATCTGTGCGCCGTATGATCGAAACATGTGAATCTTATGGTAGGCATATGACCTACCATAAGATTCGGGCATCCTAAGACAGAGACATGAGTCATGATAAACGAATTTTTAAAGGTGAAAAACGTAGAACTTGTGACCTTGTGACTTTTATCTGTTCCAAAAAGTTAATACCATTTACACGGTCAATGATTTTCATCACCAGAAGAGGCTGTCGAAGAGTATGAAAAACACGTTTATGAGGTCACCACGAAGGAGTGGCATAAATGTTTACAAAATTTGTTTAATCGTATGAAAAACTGCATTTACGCAAAGGGAGTATGTTTTAAGAAACAATAAATTCATTTTAGATCTTTAATAGTATTTTTTCATGTTCCTTTCGGAAACTTTTAGTGCGCCTCCCGAACAAGCGTTGCTTAGTTTGGGATATAAAGAACGTTGTGTGTAAATGTGTCCCCTCGAATATTAGTTGCGGGTGACTCAGGTTCGTGATTCGTGGCAGTCTGTGGCCTATTTTCAGCAGTGGACTCGAACAGGCTGAAATGATGATGTTGTTAATATAGAATCTCCTTGTACATTTTAATTTTACATACGGGTCTGTTACATAACTGCGAACTCACGGAGTAATATTTATGCTTTTCCGTTTCAGCCCAGCCCAATTCATTAAAAGGTTGCAACGCATTCAGATGCGTTGCCACTAGCTGCAGAGGGTTGCAGAACCCTACGGTTGTTGCAAATAGCCATTGACGGCGGAAGTGACTTAACATCAGGTGAACCGAATGGTCGCTTGGCACCTTCTCACATAAAAAAATCTGGGTTATGATGTCACCGAGCCTGCTGTTGGACTTTAAAAGCTTGGCAACACACCGATAATCTTCTTAGTATTGTGGGTGCGATTCTTCTTCTATTAAAATAAAAAAAAAATGTTGTTACGGCACAAACAAATTGCGTGATCTTCAAATACTTGTACCGAGCCTGGATGTACTTTACGTTCGTGTTTTCAGAATGGGTTTCCCAGGCACGAAAGTAAGTTTTTTTTTTTTTTTCAAAAAATGTCTCGTTTATCCTCAGGGAATATTAGTCAACAGTAAGTTGTTTGTTTTTTTTCTTTTATTGTTTTATGTAGCGCATCTGACATTATCCGGCGCTTCTATATAAAAAAAATGTAAACTCATGTGAAAAAGTCTTTGAAAATAATAATGAAAAATTCCCACTATAGAAAATAGAGTGCAAATTTTTCAACGGCCATCAGGAAATTTCAAGATACATGATAGACCTCGCGATATAATCTTCTTTTTGACACTTTCAAAGTATGTAACTAATTATAAATCTTATCTTAATATACATAAATTACATATCCAGTTGTTTGTCCGCGATGGACTCCTAAACTACTTAACCGATTTTAATCAAATTTGCACACCGTGTGCAGTTAGCTCCAACTTGAGAGATAGTTTATATCTCAATTTATAGTCGCAATCATTTTTATTAAAACATAATAATTTGTTTATAATATGACAAATAGTTATAAGTATCTGTGAGTTCCATAAGATTCTATCACATGGCGGTGTAAGGTAAATTTATCGGCTGGATTGAATAAGTAACTAATAGATGGCGCTATGTTAAAAGTACAACAAAAACGTATGGACCCAGTAGATTTGGGGCAGACGAAGTTGCGCGGGCCAGCTAGTATAAAATTATATATACTTAGACGTGGTCTCCACTCAAAACATACAGTGGATACTTTTTTTGTATAAGTTATCGTTGTTTCAGATATACATATGTAATTTTTGTATGCTGATACAAGTTGATTTTGCATATAATAAGTGTATTGCACCTACTAGATGTGAGCAGGCAGACAACATTATAAAAAACCTGGGGTTTTGAATTTTTGAAGAGACATTTTGTTAGACCCACGATGAATGATATGTATAATCTATAGATTAAAAGCTATAGGTTAAAACTATAGGTAGTTATAACTACAATAGTAAAACTAAACTTAAAGCGTAGCTTAAATAAAAAAAAAACATTATGACCCGAATGGCGTAGTGGACCTGCCTCAGGACGCAGGCGTCAGTGGGTGAGGGTTCGAACCCCACTACCGGGAAAATAATGTCTGATGAACATAGTGTTTTTCTAGTGTGTGGGTGTTAACATATGTATAATATGTATTTATTTAAAAATAAAAGTATGTTTAAGTATGTTTATCAGTTATCTAGTACTCATAGTACAGCTTAGTCCCAAACTAAGCGTAGCTTATTATGTTTATTTAGATTATTTATGTTTATTTACCATAGTTGTTATTGTCTAATCTACAACTATACACCATAAGATAGTGTTTAGGTTTGTGATACTGGATAATCCTAATATAAAATTTTGTGCCATAGAAGTTGCAGCAATGACTTAAATACATGTTTTGGTTTAATGTTTGACCTTTAAAGATTTAGAAGAGAAATAACGTAAGTTTTGGCGTTACTAAACAGTATAAAGGAAGGTTTCTTTAGTAGCTTGTATCAAGACCAACCAATAAAACCTTGAAGGACACGCTTGATCTACTTTGTTATTCAACGTGGACATAACTGTTTTTTAACTGTTAGAAATACATTTTCTTGCAATGGGGAAGCAAATATTTCTAAATGTGTATTTTGAAAGTATTGGCGACGTGCATATTTTATAATTGAATTGTATAACTTATTTAATGTATTATGTTTGATCCTATTACTCAATTAAAAGTATACAATAAAAAAAATACTTTGGTGATGTAACTATTAATTGTTGTAAATTACATTTGAATAATTCCGATGAACCTAACAAACAAAAAAAATCTTTGGTAAATAATAGCGATATAGGTACACCTCTTTTTTAATTTTCGTTCATGTCCAGCGAGGCATTTACGATATTTGTAAGAAAACCCGCCTTTTAAAGGCACGCTTTTATAATAATATATGGTCTTCTATGGAAGAAGTCGCTTGCTTTCATTTAGTATTGTAATAGTTGTTATTATTTTTACAAAAACTATATAAAAATATTCATTTATACTCGCTTATTGGGTATATACAAATTTGATGGCTCAAATAAATAAGATTTTTAAGTAATAATTAGTTACATAAAATGAACCCTAAGAAACCTAGATTTTATATACTATGTTAGTAAAAAAAATGCAAAATCAAAACAAGATCTGAATAAAACTACAAAATTTTGCCATTAACCTGATTTATTTTCAACTATTTGCTGTTATTCACGAAGTACAACACGTTGCTCTATAGGAGCAAAATATCTTTATTATCTCCATTATTGTAACAAATGTCAGACGGTTGTTGCCGTTTGTGTTGCAACGTCAAAGACCAATTTAATGCCGACAATCGTGACGTTGAAATAAGTACTGATTTCTTAAAATTATTGGATCGCAATAATAGTAATCACGCTGTGTTTATAAAGAGTATTAAATGTATGTTACCCGTTTATTAATACAATTCGAGCCTTAACGTAGGGTAGGGGGTTGAATAGATATATCTTTCGCGTCATTGAATATACTCGTAAGTCTATTTTAATAACTTAAATAGTAGCTTAAATTATCTCGTCATAGAAAAAGGTGTGTGAATATCAATTTCGAATTGATAAAAGCAAATCTCCGAAATTATATATAAAATAATTAAATTTAAATTAATTTAATATAATAGTACGTTTTAACTTTATTACAACCAATGAATAAGCAAAACTTTGAATAAATTCTGCAAGTGATCAAATATTGCCTTGTAGGGTGTATCAAAAGAAACTTGATATCATTGCGTAGGCGGAAATGCTGACTCGAAATTTTAAACTTTCAAATCTTTCGACCGTGTGTCAAATAAAAATAAAACGTTTCATAACGATAAACAAAAACGAAGGCCAAACTTTATTTCCAATTTTACTCAACCATAGTGTCTTATATGTAAGCTTCTACTAGTACATTTATGTGAAACTATGGTAAACGTAAATGCATGCAAAAGTGTTTTAAACGATTACGAATATTTCTTAAATAAATCCTCTAGGTATTAAATATTAATTGTAAATATTTATTCGAATAGGAAAGGTAACGACAACGATAAATCATTATAGCTTAATTATTCGCGGTAAGATTGACAAGGCTAAATATTAAGTAATAAAAATATAAGTAGTATATAATATTGAATTGAATGCAAGTAACTAATCTTGATACATTATTGCTGTTGTTATCATATAATGAACAGTATAATTATCTATTAAATGAGGCACCCTATGCGTTCTAAGCGCTAAAAACTTTTTATAAAATTTAATTGGCTTCAAAAATCACCATATATAAAAGTATGTATTATAGTAAGTATAATTCTAAGGAATTAGATTGGATATTTTTTTTAATATTTTGTCAACAAAATTACAATGCAAATAGACGACATATTTCTATTTACAACGGACTATAAAATTTATATTT